TTCCTTATTTGTCTGGAATGCATGAAGAATTGTTGTGGTAGTGTGAGAGAAGGAGAGTGTGAAAAACAGAGAGAGAGAGAAAGAGTGATCCGCCTGAGGGATGACTGAGCAGCCAGCACACATTAGCTTCACAGCAGAAATAACAGGCACTGAAGGCCATCATTGTTTACCCCTTAACAACACAGCAACAGGAGATTAAGACAGCGGTGTACAGCACTAAACCAGTGGGTTTAAGCTCAATACTTGGAAATTTCCCAAGTGAGTTCGCTCTAAACCTAAACCACTCTGCCTGATATACCAGCCAGCAACAATAGCTACGCTTTTGTTTACCTTCATTCAAAAGCTTTCTGTCAGGAGTCCTCAGGAAAAAGCTGGTGCGCCGAGGATCCAACCTTTTGTGGCTTATAAATCATTAATAATGATAAGTGCTGTAATTGCTGCAATGGTAGGATATTGACGTGCTGCTACATGATATGCCCTAAAACTAACGCAATGATCTGTAGTGTTTCTTTAGTGCCTGACCAGCATGTTTACAGATGCTTTTCCAAGGAGTTTAAGAAGTGCTGTTTGAGGGCATTTACGATACAGTGTTTTATCTGTAACTGGCCCCACATTGTAAAAGACAAGCAAAACAGCTTCTATAGCTTTTCTTGGGCTACTGTGGTAACAGACAGAGAATCTCTAGGTCCAGCCTATTATACATTTATTCACTGCTTTTAATTGCAGTAGACCTTGATAGATGATAGTTTCATTGCCATGGCTTTTGGTTGAAATGCTAAAGGGAACCATTTTACCAAACATTTCAACCAGAAACTTTGTTCTCTCCTGATGAAGAGGTTAAGAAATTAGGATAAAAAATCTGGATAACACTTTACTTGAAGGGTGTTCATAAGACTGCTGTGAAAACCTTTATAATCAGGAAAAGACCCTTTTCATGAATGTCATTATTAAGTGTCATTTGCTATGTTATGTCATTTTAAAAGCAAAGATGGCATTTTTTGTTATGACATGTTGACATAAACAAATACATTATAACAGTGGTTCTCAAACTTTTTTCACCATGTACCACCTAAGAAAAAAATTGTCTCTCCAAATACCACCATAATAACCAGTATTGAAGTACCATAGTAGACCTAGAGCTGAATATCTTTGCCTGAACCCGAAGGGATTCGTTGGGTACGGGTGGGTTCGGGCTTAATTTCTATAATTTTAGACGGGATCGGGCCGGGCCTGGCTTGGGCTTGCGTGGTAAATGAAAAGTCATGTGATGTTTTTTTTTCTTTTTTCGACTGTTTATTGAGTTTTTCAGGAAACGATATAAAACGAAAACAAAAAAAAAAAACAAGTGCAAATTTAAAACTTTCTCCCGCCCATCCACCCCTGGTAGACTTCAAATGATGAATAAAAATAATATTAATAATAAATAAATCATGTGATGCATTTCGATTAGCGCGAGAAAATAATCAAATTGTTTGTTACACAATGGAAATCCATCTATGCAAAGGTGAAACAAATGATGACGGAGAAGTCAAAAAGAGCGAATTTTGAATGTGGTCAGGCCAGCCGCCAGTTAAGGCGGCTCATTCTGAGAGAAAGAACGGTCATTCTGCTGCCAAGGTATTTTGGCAGTCGCCCATACACTGCGTATTACGGTAGAGTGCTAAACAGCAATGTAAAGCAAGCTGACAGGCAAGATGATGAGGTCACTCGCTACATTGAAACCGCTGTCATGGAAAATGAAATGGATGTTCTTGGCTGGTGGAAGATGAACAACAATACTACCTAAAACATGCTAAATTAGCCAGAACTATATGCACCCTGGCCAGTAGCAGCAGCAGTGAAAAGATGTTCAATGCTGCTCAGTGAGTGCAGAACTGCGCTAAAGCCAGTTACAGTGGATTCAATAATGTTCCTCTACAAAAACACGTAGCCTAGTCTTGGTGAGTAAAGGATTTTCAAATTCTTAATAAATTTTAATTAAATCATAAAATCATAATGTAGACAGAGTAGGCCTAGGCCTATATAGGCTAATGTTGACATTATTCTTTTAATATTCAGCTTCACCGTCACCTTAATGCCAGATTGTGAAGAGAAGTAGCGAAACAAATCCTGCAGTGCCTTTATCTTAATTTCATTATTGCCAAATAACCGTCATAATTTATATAATTTTTTTGTTAAGAAAGACTTACTTTTATTGGCCAATTTAAAGATGTACCAATATTTAGAGTGCTGAGATGTTATGATGTTAAAGAGGACTTATTTTATTTCTTTGTTCCTACTTCTAAGTGGCATATAGACGCATTACCAACACGGGTTCTCGGTTGTAAGAAGAGACCACTGGCAACAGTAAACAAGTCGAGTTGTGCGGTAAAATACCAAATTAGAATAAAAAAATAGAAAACTTAACATTTACCGTACACCACACTGCTTTCAATGCCAACCGCAGATGTCTTAGGCTAAAAGGGAGCTGAATGAAGTGAGGACCTAATTAAAAATGCTGGACTCTGCAGTTCTCATTTCGTATCAGGTAAGTTTACGCTATGCTGAATTATCCACATCACTTGTTTTTTTGATTGCAGCAATGATTTTAGCATCAATAGATAAACATGGTTAAACTGCGGACACTGAATGCAACGAATGAAACATGAAAGTTAAAAGTTAAAGTTAAAGTTGATTTTCTATTCACACATTCAGTTAGTGACAAGTTGTGACACACTCCCTATATTGTTTACCACGGCACTTTGAATATTCAATCTGAAATAACCTGCAATTGTGATTTGAAACAACATTAACACTGTTTATTTGACTGTGAACCATGTTGTCATTTGATAGTCATTGGCTGCTAATATAATTTCGCTTTTTAGAGTTTTTATTGTTTTTATTGATGTTTACATTTGCATTTAGCAACTACTCACAATAAACACCAGTCTTTCAGAAATCACGCTACAGAAAAGCACAGCATGTCATGTGACTAATCCAAAGCACATCATTGGCTACACTAAGGTCTTCTCTTTCCAAAACAACAATAACAAAAATATAATGTTAGTTTTAAAGAAACAGTGGCAGGGAAATGTACATAAGTACTATGTTGCCATATGTTACACCGTGCAGTAGAGGGTTAAATTAAAATGCGCTTTTAAAAGTTAATTAAAATGGCACTGTTCTTAAAAAGTATAATAAAACTGCTGTACTTCAATGTAAAGTATTATCATATAGTAGTAGCCTATTCATCAAAGCCTGGAATTCTCCTTGGACCTCATAAATATAGGCTGTATGTTATCATATTCATATATAAACTCTTTTTGATAAATAGAATGCATAAAAAAAATTGGAACATTGAAAATAAAAGGTTTAGCCTATTAAAATTAATTTACTGATCACATAGGTGTTACTGTACACGTCAAAGGGTTAAAAGTATGTTACGTTTTTTACTTGAATTCTTCGTCGATTCCTCCACGTACCACTAGAAGGAAGTCTGCATACCGCTAGTGGTACATGTACCACAGTTTGAGAACCACTGCATTACAACCAGTCTTCAACTCTGTCATGAGAACTTGACATAAACCTGTCAGACATTATAATTGTGTCTCATTTTTAATGGAACAAACTGTCTTTAAAATCTCATAAAAAGTGTCATTACTCTGTCAAATTATTTTTAGCAGTGTCATTACTATTTAATGGCTATTTAATTACAAATTTAGCTTGTACCACTGTAGGTGAAGTAAAGAAAATATGGATTATGATGTTATAAAATTTATGACATTTTAATAGCTTCATGACAATCATGCTTATGACAGATTTATGACAAACAATGTCATCTTTGCATTTAAAATGTCATAACTGAACCAATGACACCTAATGACAGTTATTATAAGCATGCATAAAATCTCATTTACATTAATGATGCGTCATGTCATGATTATAAAGGTTTAATGACATGAACACCCAATGACATGTCATATGAACACACCTTCAAAACAATGATATAATTTTAGTTAAAAAAATTTACAAAATTGTTCCATTTAATTACATTTTTAAATAATTGTATTAATCTTAGGTAATGTTAAATATTTAATATAAATTAAATGATTAAATGTTTATATTATTTAAGGGCTTAAAATTTACAGACTTTATTATTAAAGATTATTAATAATGTTCATATTTTTATTGCTTTATGACTAATGTTAACTAATAAGATCTTGTTGTCAGCAATTAGCATTTTTGATTAATGCTAATTTCTGTATACAATAATACATTAATTTACACTTAAATTTAATTATGAGCATGCATTTATTGATAATATAAGCAGCAGTAAAATGCTGAAGAAAAACTGTTCAGTGTTAGTTCATAATAACTGATGTTATTCAATGCAATAGCTGATGTTAATAAAATTTAGTCTTAGTGTAAAGTTTTACAAATTAATCATATTTTTTAAAACAGTCATTTGTAGATCAGTGATCTTTAACCTGTAGTCCTTGATTACATTTAGATTTTGCTTTATTTAATATTTAAAAACAAATAAATAATTATAATAATACCAGTAACCAATATTTTTTTACATTAGTAATTTACCTATATTCTGTAAACACACAATTAATTTTTTATAAATATATAAATCAAATCAAAGTAAACGTTGACCACCATAATAATAAATTATTATTTTTATTATTATAAAGGTTTATGAAGGCGCTATAGGTAGTGCTGTTGCCTCACTGCAAGAAGGTCGCTGGTTCGAGTCTTGGCTGGGTCGGTTGGCATTTCTGTTTGCATGTTCTCCCTACGTTCGAGTGGGTTTCCTCCAGGCTCTCTGGTTTCTCCCACAGTCCAAAGACATGCGGCACAAGTGAATTGGGTAGGCTAAATTGTCCACTTTGTATGAGTGTAAGTGAGTGTGTATGTTTCCCATGTGTGCATGTTTGATGTATTTTTGGCAGTACATCACGCTTAGCGGAGATGGGCTGTAAGTTATACAGTACAACTGTAAAGTAAATCACACTCACCAATATAAAGGGATGAGTCTTCTCTTCTGACATGGTCATCAATGTAGGATACGCCCAGCGGCTGCAGGGGTGTCGCTCCAACACCCAGAAGCATCTGTGCTCCGATGAGCAGCAGGTACATCATGTTGGTGTTGGTTCTGTTTCCGCAAATATAGCCGGGATCAGAGAGACCTGCCCGACTGCTGTTGGAGCACACGTTTTGTCCCTGTCCAACAGGCCGTGACTCTCCAGTCTGATACTGATACTGGTGGGTCAGGAACTCAGGCAGCGCTGACAGTAATGCCCCCAGTGCCATCACAATACCACCACATCCAATCAGCCGCGGCCGATGGGCCCTCGCCCCGAAGTAGCTGACGAAGAGGATGAGAGCGAGGTTGCCGATCTCGAAGCTGCTGGCGATCACACCCACGTCAGCGCTCTGCAAGTTGAAACGCCGCTCTAACGTGGTGAGGACACTGACCTGAAATATAAAGGAACAATACAATGTTACAAAGCTAGAAGATAATGAGCATTGCCAGTGCTTTTGGAATGACACCAAATTACTAAAAAACACTTACCTTAAACTGAATTATGACTTAAAGTAAGTTCAAAATGAATGTTTGGATAGTTTGCCCAAACATGAAAATTACCTCATTTATTCTTCCTAAAGTGGTTGCAAATCTATTTGGGTTTCTTTTTTCTGCTTAATCCAAAAGAGAATATTTTGAAGAAGGTTAGTCCTGACATCCATCCACTTTCATAGGAAGTCAAAGGCAATGGGTGTCAGCTACCAGCATTCTTCAAAATATATTTTTCTTGAGCAGAAGAATGAAACTCATATTTCAACCTCAAACTATGATTTAAATCTGATTTTGAAGTGAAAAGGGAGTTTTATTTTTATTTTTGGGTAAACTACCCCTTTAACCAATAGAATACACAAAAATTGCTAGGTTATTCCAAACCAATTCTTGGTGTAATATGGAACGAAGCAACTGCTGGGTGATGTTTTTATTAAATAAATAGGACCAAATTTAACCCAATCTTTGGGTTATCCATATTTTACCCAATTTGGGTTTAAATAACTTTTAGAGTGGAGGTTGGTGAAATTGTGAAGAGAACCGGGCTTTATACTCATTTATAAAGTATCCAATGTAGTTATTCATGTAAACGTTTAGAATTAAAATTCATTGATGCACTTTACTTAAAAGAAGTGACCAAAATTGTTAACTTAAAATTATTATGTAAATTAACTATGTGCAAAATTATAGCAATTTTATTAAAAGTAGTTACTACTTTTAAATAATTAACTAAAGTCAAAATGTCACCCCTAAAGCCTGGAGGCGATGAATTTACGCAGTAATGAAAATGCAACTCTTTTACTTGTTCAGAAAGCTAATGTTAAGTTTAGGCCTGGGGTGTCCAAACTCTGTCCTTGAGGGCCGGTGTCCTGCATATTTTAGTCCCAACCCCAATTAAATACACCTGAAACAACTAATCAAGCTCTTTCTAGGTATACTAGAAACGTCCAGACAGGTGTGTTGAAGGAAGTTGGAGTTAACCATGCAGGACACAGGCCCTCCAGGACCGGGTTTGGACATCCCTGGTTTAGGGCATCATTTCATGATTTCTTACACTACCTGACAAAAGTTTTGTCGTCTATCCCAGTTGTAAGAGCAACAAATAGTAACTTGACATCTAGTCTAGTTGATCATTTGGAAAAGTGTCAGAAGTTAGATTTTTCTGATGAATCATCTGTTGAACATGCTGAAGACCTATTGAAACCTGCATGGACCCAAGATTCTCACAGATTTCAGTCAAGTGTGTTAAAGGAAATATCATGGTTTGGGGTTACATTCAGTATGGGGTGTGCGAGAGATCTGCAGAGTGGATGGCAACATCAACAGCCTGAGGTATCAAGATATTTGTGCTGCCCATTACATTACAAACTACAAGAGAGGGCAAATTCTTCAGCAGGATAGCGCTTCTTCTCATACTTCAGCCTCCACATCAAAGTTCCCGAAAGCAAAGAAGGTCAAGGTGCTCCAGCATTGGCCTGCCCAATCACCAGAAATGAACATTATTGAGCATGTCTGGGGTAAGATGGAGAAGGCATTGATGATGACTTTCAGATGACTTCATTAATAGGTGAATTACTCATTGCAGAGATGGATGCAGTCATCCAAGCTCATGGGAGTCATACACAATATTCATTAATTTTTTTTTTCAATTAAAAATCAAGGCATGATCATATTTTATTTAGGAAAAATAAGTGTAATCTAGAGGCATTTGCCTTTCATATAAGCCCCTTCTGATACCAAATGATCAACTAGAAGTCAAGTGATTATTTGTTATTTCTAAAACTTGCATAAGCGACAAGACTTTTGTCAGGTAGTGTACTGTATGTTATTGTAACAGTTTTTTTAGGTAGCCAGTAATCCAAAAAGGAAGTATTATTTAATAATAATGCATATTACAAACCTGTATGAGTTTCTTTCTTCTACTGAACACAAAATAAGATATTTTGGAAAATGTTGGTAATCAAACAGTTGATGAAATATGAAATCGAGGATTACAAGCAACTGTTTGGTCACCAACATTTTTCAAAATATCTTATTTTGTGTTCATAAGAACAGGCTCAGACTGGAGGGAGTTAATGCTGATAGATTTTTCATTTATGGGTGAACTTTCTCTTTAAATACATTAGCACTTATTAGATACTAGTACCTCTTTTCCTAGACACTATCACAATCCTCTATTGTTACTGGAAAAGAATTGTACTATATGCATCTGTCGTCTGGCACCTTTTTCTAGACATTCACACTTATCCTAATTGTTATTAATTATCACTAGTTTTGCAGATTTCCCTATCTTTAAATAGCTCGGGAAAAAGAAAAGATGTAACAAGAATATCTAGTCCATGGTGACACTGGCCTACTCAGATTGACACACTTGAAAAAAGTAATAAGATGCTGGTGGATGAGCACTGATCGTCCATTTGTGTGCTCCTTTTCAATGGGGAATGGTAATGCAATAACTGTCAATCTGCAATAAATCCAGTCCAAGCGCAGTCTTACTGTTAAACAGTCCCCGATTGGTCTTTACTCATCGTCTCACTATTCCTGAGATAGAGGATCAAATTCATGACATTTTTAAATGATGTTAAAACACTGCATCCATCATCCTGTCATGAGCAGACTCCTATAGAATGTCCTACAGGTTTAGTAAAGCAGCATGTAAATCCACTCAGTGAGGATCAACTCAAAATCTACGCATTGTGTTATGCGTAGTTTGCAAGTTTGGATGGAAAACACCTGCTTTAATTAAATATATGTGATCTACGATGTTTTAGCATTGTTTGCTGAAACTACAAACCATATCCCAAAGGCCACATGAAAGTTGGCTTTCTATGCGAAATGCCCCAATCTTTCTGAAAAACTATGAATTGTAGACATTATTGTGTTCTGCAGGTGCACCAAATACTCAGAGAATTACTTTTGTCTTCCTGTCTTTCCTCATTACTTTGTGTTGATATTTTGTCTTATAGAGTGCAATATGAAATCTACCGTGTTATTTAAATGTTTCCAAGTAACACATACACGTTACAAAGTGGAGTAACCTGTGTTTTAATAGAAGCTACATTTAGTTTTAAGTCACAATTCACAATATTAACTACTGGCTTATTACCTGCATATTTTTATGATATTAACTGTGTTTTATTGGTTAAGAAGTATGATCTTATTTTACATTTTTAATCCTACCCGATACTGAAACGCAACTACTATCCTAATAACTATTGATAACAAGTGGTGCTCACTGCAGAGCCACTTGGGCAGAGCTGAGCTCCAGCTCCTCCTTCTACAAGTGATGTCACTGGAGGTTGAGGTTAGGGGTGGGGTGGGTGTACGCATTAAAACAGCTTAAAGGAGGAGGAGTTGGAGCTCTAGCTCCCCCTCGCTGGAGCTCAAATGGCTCTGCAGTGAGCAGTGTCTCATTAAAAAGCAGCTAATTAGTAGTTTGTTGAGCTAATAGTCTTAGTTAATGGTTAGTTAATATAGTGAATTGTGACTTAAAATAAAGCGTTATCATTCATTTTACATAACTTAAGCAGATGTGACTTAGCCTATACTGTGAATCTATATGTTCAAAATTTATTAAGTTTGACATTTAAAAACTGCGACACTGTGTGGTTATCATTGTTGCCTCACAGCAAGAAGGTTGCTGATTTGAGTCCCAGCTGGGCAAGTTGGCATTCTATGTGGAGTTTGCATGTTATCCCTATGTTGGTGTGAGTTTCCTTCGGGTGCTCCGGTTTCCCCCATAGTCCAAACTCATGCGCTATAGAGGTATTGGTTGAACTAAATTGTGTATATGGATAATGAGTGTATGGATGTTTTCCAGTACTGGGTTGCCACTGTAAGGGCACCTGCTCTATAAAACAAATGCTATATAAGTTGGCGGTTCATTCCGCTGTGGTGACCCTTGATGAATAGAGAGACTAAACTGAAATGAAAATGAAAGAATGAAATTTAAAAACTTGCAGGAGAAGGACTGTGTACATTTTACTCTTTAGAGTGTTGTTATGGTTCTGTTACCTGAGTTATGAGGATTATCTTTTCAAGTACAGTTGCATTTATATGAGATAATATTTTGACCTTGTTAAGTTCAGATAATAACTAATGCATGCTATTTTAGCTGTTAAAATGCACATCTCTATTGTTATGCTATATATTGTAAACCACTGTTTACTTTAAAGATACTGAGGTCCACCCTGATCTATCACATGGTTGCTACGGCAATTGAAAGCTACTGGTAAATGTATATAATTTTATGGGTATAATTTTCCATTGATATTAATGTGAACAGTTCACATTAATAGACTTTAAAGTAAATGTGTATTTCTTCCATCATCCCTAGACAGATTCAAGAAAAAAAATACATATTAGTTATGTAATAAACAAGCAAAAGGGTAATACAGCATGTCACTTGTATTATTGTTTGGTATAGAATAGGTACTAACAGTCTAGATATAGTATGCGACAAGTCTCAAAGAAATGATCTAATGCAGTGTTTCTCAACCACGTCGTTCCTGGAGGACCACCAGCATTGCATGTTTTGAATGTCTTGTTTGTCTGTCACACCCATTACAGGTCTTTCAGTCTCTGCTAATGAGCTGATGATCTGAATCAGATGTGTTTGGTGAAGGAGACATGGAAAATGTGCAGAACTGGTGGTCCTCCAGGAAAGTGGTTGAAAAACATTGATCTAATGAACAAGGACTAGTCAACAGGCCTACGCATGTACCACCATCTACTAAACAGAATTCATACTACAGTTAATAACTATAGTAAATAAATAAAAAAGTAGACAATATTAGATTACCGGGATAAATTAGAAAATTATCTATAAGATATAGTGCAAAATGCGGCACATTATACATGTATAATAACCTAGCCTATTAGTTATAGTATTAGTAATGGAAAGTAAGTCTATTTTAAAGAAAAATAATAAATGTGAAAATCTTGTATGCTCATCACTGTTTCCAATAGGATGTGCATCGACGTCAAGACAGAATAAGGTGATAGGTCTTGTTGACCAATGGGTCACTCACTGGACTGATCATCATTTTTCACAACAGTGTCTCTAAATCAAAATGAAGCAGTCGCAATACCGCATGCACGCCAAAAAGCCCATCTCATGACGATGCTGTTTATTTATTTTGCTCTAGAGAAAAGATTTAAGCGATGCGGAGCCGGACACCATTCAATGTCATCCACACGCTGATGACAGTGCGCACCTATAGCATGAGCAGCCCGTGTTAAAGCCTCGACTCACCAGATAAGCTCCTACAGTGCCCTGCGCCAACATTAAGGCACATTCCGAGATGAGGAATATTTTGATGTTGGAGAAGCATGATGTCTTCTTCTGGCACTCGTCTGGCTCAGTGTCTGGCGTGCTTCCCTCCGCGTACATCCTCTGATGCGGACTGCAGTAAGCAGAAAGACAGGCTCGGACAGAAGGTGACCATTGAGGACGAGTGCAGATGGATCCTCAACAAGACGTGCACGGCTCCGTTAACATCGCCTCCGGTTCCGGTAGCGCGTTCAGAACTAGTCTTTGTGAAAGGAAATCTTACGCGTTGTTGGTAATGTCACCTCAGAAACTGCGCACTCGCATCTGATCCGGTGATCTGAATGGTCCTCAGGAATCGACGGAGGACCGCGGGAGCCTATTAATAACCATGAGCATCACCGACACACGGAAACTGCAAAGGGACTGTGTAACGGGAGGCGGTCCGATGCTCTTCCGCGGGGAGACTTTTGCCGGTGTGGAGGACTCGGTTCATTCGTGTCCTCATCTACACTACTGCCTGCACCAAATGATGACCTCTCTCTCCTTTGCCTTTCCACTGGCTCTCCTTATTTCCTCCTCCTCCTCCTCCTCCTCCTCCTCAAAGCACAAACACAGCTGATAGATAGATAGATAGATAGATAGATAGATAGATAGATAGATAGATAGATAGATAGATAGATAGATAGATAGATAGATAGATAGATAGATAGATAGATAGATAGATAGATAGATATAATTTAATTAATAATTTTAAAAATTGATTTTATTGTCATTAATTTTACCTGAATAATAAGCATTTATAATGAAAGAGCTCGGTCAAAACTTGTAAACAGGTTTTAGTGTCTAAAGTGAGACTTGGTGCAGTTGTGAATTTTATGACTAGACTAAAAATAGCCCTCAATATGTGTCCCCTGAGAGCAATGTGCCAAACTATGGATGTATGAGCTGCTGACCAAATGATCACACAGGCCTGCATTAAAGGTACAGTTCATCCCGAAATAATCTACTCTCATCAGTATTGTTTCAAACCCGTATTACTGTATTCAGTGCAACACAAAATGAGGTGTCAGGCAGAATGATAGTGTCAGTCATGCACCAGTACAATTTTATAGTAGAAAATTATAGTTAAAAAGCCGGAAATGTCAATGTTTTTACAATTAACTACAGTATTTCATTCATGTATAGTGTTATGCATCAATTATTTTAAGGACTAACATCTACACATCACACCTTCGTTACACGAACAACAATGGATACATTATATAAGTTTCATATATCATAACAGTAAGCACTAACATCTACACATCATACATTTGTTTCAAAAACAAAAACACAACAATAAGCATGCGGATGAGTAAGTCATATGAACCATAAAACAAGCATTTACTGTGTAATAAACACCTTATTGGCAACACACACAATTAAAGTAATGTAATAGACATTATCAAAATTAGATCTAACATGAAACCCAAATGTACATAACTGATAAGAAAAAGAACCATAATATCAACAAAATAGCATGAGATGAAGTGTTTTGCAGGAATTTCTGAGAAAGTCATTTTACAGTTCATCACCATATACAGTGGTAAAAAGTATGAAGCATATCACAATCTTTCTCAGAAAATATATTTCAGCAAATTAATCCATACATACAAATAAAAAACTAATTAGTTAGATATTAATTATTGTGTCATAAAATGAAATGGTACAAGGGAAAAGGACTGAACACATGAAGAAATGGAGGTGTAAAAAAGCATGGAAAGTCCAGACAGCAGCTGAAATAGCTCAGTTGTTAGAAAGCAGCCCTGCCTAAACGAATAGTTGCTGCTTGAGTCCAACATCTCCAGAATGATGGAGATGAAACCACTGTGGACATTTCAGCAAGACAATAATCCAAAACACAGCCAAGAAACTCAATCATTCATTCATTCATTCATTTTCCTTTGACTTAGTTCCTTTATTTATCAGGAGTTGCCATAGCAGAATGAACCGCTAACTCTTCCAGCATATGTTTTACACAGCAAATGCCTTTCCAGCTGCAACTCAGTACAGGGAAACACCTATACACACTCATTCAGACACACACACACACACACACATACACAACAGCCAATTTATTTTATTTAATTCACCTATAGCGCATGTCTTTGGACCGGAGCACCCAGAAGAAACCCACGCCAACATGAGGAGAACATGCAAACCCCACACAGTAATGGCAACTGGCCCAGCCAGGACTCGAACCAGGGACTTTGTTACTGTGAGGCCACAGTGCAGTGTTTCCCCCCTCAATTTAAGGAAAGAATGAAAAAAGCATCTAGAATGGCTCAGCCAATGGACCTGAATGTAATTCCATAGAAAATAAAAACTAAAATATCAGCTGATAGATGAGACCCACAGAACCTTCAAAATGTTGAAACTTTGACAAAAATTTGACCGAGCAACGCATGCAGCACTATTATTCATATAAGAGGCTTTTTTTGTGTGTTCGGATTGTTTTAACCGAAATCATGATGTGCTCTATAATTATTTTACCTGCTGGATATTAATTAAACTTACTGTTAAGCAGGTTTACGTTGTTCATTTTTTAACCGTTTGAAATCATGGCCATTTTTTACAGTGTAGTAGAACTTTTTGTTGGTGTTGTTTAATTAACATTTGATGTACGTAAATAACAGGTGTGTTTAACAAAACTTTTTTTGATTTCTCTGTGTTTGTAGTGGTGCATGACAGGTTCCACAGTGGCAGAGTCTGTTCAGTCAGTCCTAAAGACTTTAATAAAGGGATGAAACATTACAGCAGACAATCAAACTAATGCTTTATTAATGTGAGTTTTGAAGATGAGCTTGACTTCAACTGTGAATTTAGAAATAAATGTAATTACAACCTTTCGGTTGATTTCTCTTGAATAATGTGTTACTCTGTAGTTATAGTATATAGTTATTTTGTCTTTGGTACACAGTTGAAGTCAGAATTATTAGCTCCCTTTAAAAACTTTTTTCTTTTTTAAAAATTTCACAAATGATGTTTAACAGAGCAAGGACATTTTCACAGTTTGTCTGATAATTTTTTTTTCTTTTGAAGAAAATCTTATTTGTTTTATTTCAGCTAGAATAAAAGCAGTTTTTAATTTTTTATGAACCATCTTAAGGTTCAAAATTCTTAGCCCCTTTAAGCTACATATTTTCTCGATAGTCTACAGAACCATCAGAGAGTCTACAAACCATCGTTATACAATAATAGTTACTAGTTACTCCAACCTGCCTAGTTAGTAACCTAGTTAAGCCTTTAAATGTCACTTTAAGCTGTATAAAAGTGCCTTGAAAAATATCTAGTAAAATATTTTTACTGTCATCATGGCAAAGATAAAATAAATCCGTTATTAGAAATGAGTTATTAAAACTATTATGTTTAGAAATGTGTTGAAAAAAATCTTTTCTCTGTTAAACAGAAATCGAAAATAAACAGGGGGGCTAATAATTCAGGGAAGCTAATAATTCTGACTTCAACTGTACATAGTAAATGTTGGTGAATTTCTGGATTAAGCCAAAAGAACTCGATTGATTTATTGATTTAGTTTTACTCTATTCAGTTTCACAGTCCTAAAAAAATATATCTGTGTGGAAGATCCTCTGTATTATCATCATTAAGAAATGACATACTGTACATAATGCAATACATAAACCATTTACTTGTTAGCTCTAAAGGGACAATTTTGAATTAGACTTTTGCTCAGCTGTTAAACCTAAAGTTTTAAACCATAGCCAAAGGAAATTTTTAAGACAGAAGGATTTTAAAGACGCTTTGTGGTTTCAAACCATTGTAATAACACAATATCACACTCTGCAGCCTTATACCTAGCTAAATCACAGCAGTGTTGACATATAACCATACATATATTGCACTGCTCACTCCTATTGCTTGTGTATGTGAATTTTTTTATTTTTAACTATTGGTTATTCTGATTTATTATAGCAAGATGATATCTGTTATTCAGTATGATAAATTATGTAATTTTCAATTCTATTTTCTATCGCATAGACCTCTTGATTGCTTTTTGCTTGTTTATTTTGTCATTTTTAAATCTGTTTTTTTTTTTTACAGTGAAACTGTCATGAAAAAAAGATTAAAGGAATAGTTCACCCATTTACTCATTTTTTAGATAAACAGTTTGCTCTTCCATGCAGTACACATAAATCTTGGGTAACTATATTTCAGTTTTTAAAAAAGAGAATGGCCGGATGAGGGAATTGAGGTGTGCTGGGGTTTTAAATGCACAATACAAATGTGTTCACAATTATGAAGCTCTTACTAAACTGTAAAGGGCACCTATAATAAAAATCGTCTTTTTGAAACTGTGTGTAGGTATAGTGTGTCCACAGTCATACTAGAGTGATAAAAACACAATAAGTCTCTTAAAATTTTGCTGATCTAAAATAAAATCCAAATGCATCTCATTTTGAGACCCAACGCAACGTGATTTAGGAGTGCGGTTTTCCCGCCCAACGATTTGATTAACAGCCGCATATTAACATGTCGCATATTAACAAGACAGGACGTACGCAAAGTAACAGGGATTAAAAGATCTGTTAAGCTCTCTGTGATCATCAATCATCATCAAATGTGATCAAGAATGAGTTTTACAGGTTTAAAACGTTTTTAAAACAGTGCATGTTTGTAATAAATTACAACGATTTTACGATCTTTAATACCACAGCCGCATGTCAGGACAATTATAAAAGACGACGCTTCAATCCCAGTTTGTGGACGTTAAATCAGGTTTATTCTGTACATTAACTTAACCGATATCCATACAGCAGTGTATATTAACGTGTATCCTGTCACATTTTGCATAATTTTAAGTATCCTGACTCATCGTTGCAGAAAGGCTTGAATTACATCCACAACAAATACATCAAATAATCATTGGGAAAGTTCTTACTGTGGTATTTCTCACAAACGTTACGTGAGATCTGCTTCCTTCATGTCTGTCACTGTGCTGTTCATCTGACACAGCCAAGGCGGAGCCTGATGCTGTGTTGACACCAAATGCAGCAAGTGCAAATAAATAGCACTATTTGCATGTGAATAGACATGTGAATATTTTGAGTTTATTCGATTCATTCGCGCATTAAATTCACTTCACAATAGACATGGATTCATGTCATGGGCAGGGCTTCTGTCTGCCTGGGGACTCTAGCTTTGTTGCTTAATGGCTAAGATGTATTTTATTGAGAGAGTAGCTGTATTTTTTTATTTTTTTTTGCTTTATGAACAGAGTCGATTCGTTTGAAGCTCTGCCCGAGTCCACTAGATCCATTCAGAGGGGCACCCAGCTCTGTGGGTTCATCAACTTCTACAGAAACTATCCCCGGATGATGAAAGCCAGGACACCAACAACAGGCGCTACGTCATAATCACACCCCATACAAAGCTCATGATTGGTTAACAAGGCGCGAATGTCCACTGAAGTTCAGATTTTCCAACTCGAGAGATTCACGTGTTAAGCACATCCAACACGTCTCTTCATTCGTACAAGTATCGCGCCGCAGGATGTCTATTTACGTTT